TGACGGGGTCCGCTCCTGTGTTTTATTTATTAATTTAATGGTATTTTCAGTATAATTACCTAGCACACATATAATTCATTGGTTAGACTGAATTTTTATTTGTGAGAGTATGGGGAATATCATACATTTTAAAATTTATAGCCTGGTCAGGTACAAAAATAAACTTTCGTTATGTATACTCTTACTAAGACTGTCATTTCAAATATTGTTGTCGCTGTGTTAAATAGAATTTCTTATTTTAATTTCGTCATTATTATAAATTGTAGATTATTATTAAAACTATCCTCACAGCAAGAATAATAAGTCGAGTTATAAAAGAGATATTTAAAATTACATCAATATTTCTTGTTTGACCACTCATACACAAGTCTATATATAACTTCCCCCCAGTTTATTGGACTTGGTATAAAAAGCAAAGCATTCTTGGTTTAACCCTTCACCGGCATCAAAAGAACAAACGCAATATATCGGGGGTTCGGCTTAATTTGGCTGCTACCAACTTTAATGCGAGCCTGCTCGAATGCTCCAAATTACTCTGCGATATTTTTAACGCCCGGAATTCGACCATTTCGGGTTACGGAAACGATATTAGCTGAATTGTTGTAAAGGGTATGTCCGATTAAGATTTTTGTCTGGAGGTACATGTGTTTGTTTGATATATATTTAATTACTGAAATGCGTGTTTTATTGCATTACTCAAAGTAATATTATTTCCGCTATTAAGGGTAAACCAAAATATATTTAAAATCATTACATCTAATTTGGTTACTTTAATTACGTTACCAATGCAACTTCAATGAGAATTCTAAGAAGAAAATGAATAAACAAAATAGGGGATGAAGAATCTTAATTTGCACTGCTTGGGCTTAAATTTTTTCTTCAAATGAATTTCCTATCTTGGGGGACATTGGCTTCTTGCCGTGTTTACAGAGAGCTGCCGAGTAGTCCCACTTTGTTGTTTAATGAAATTATCGGTTTACCGAGCAAATGAACAAAGCCCAGATTTCTCCATCTCGGTCAAAAAAGGGAGAGGATTGTTTTTGTTTTCCTCGCAGGCGATTCGAATGGACTCCTTTGTGGTTCTCCTTGGCGCTGCGCGGTACTTAATCAATTATTATCGATTCGTTAATTCGAGATGCAAGGGTATTAATGAATTCTGCACGGAGCTTGGATAAAAGATTTCCTTTCATTCAGAATGGCTAATTAAATACGTTCTACGTATTTACGAGATGTTTTGTTTTATATAGTACATTTTGAACCATTATTTCTTAAATATTGTCCGAAATAACTAATACATTATTTTTCATTATCTTTCAAAATAACACTATAAATTCTCTTTCGGAGGTAAATTAACAATTCTTTTAAAAATAACTAACGTGTGTGAGGGAAAAGCGAAGATCAGAAAATAATTGGTTCTTTTTAATTAGATTAACAGCTATAGCGACAACGAATCTCTTGTCTACAAACAGGAGGTGTGACTTTTCACCGCTGTACACAATCTGTCACTGCCACTTCCGGACCTTTGTAATGTTCTTTTATTGTTGCTTTATAAAACGAAAAGAAATCTTACTTTTTTCGTGTCTGCAATTGTCACCCTCACGGTTTGAAAGGTTGATTTAATACGCCGACTTCTTTTCGTTTTTAACGTCTGTAAACAATTCCAAAGATAACAATATGATATAATTAATTTGGAAAGGTTTGCCTTTTTCCTGTGTTAATATTTAAAAAAAACCTGTCAAATATGTTGATTTAAAATGATTTTTTTCTATCCATGTTGTCAGCGTATCGTGGCAAATTTACATTTAAATAGAACATCTGCGGATGGTTCGACCCTCTTAAGCAATAGCGTTTTTCTTGCCCGCTAATTTGTAAATCGCTTCGTAATATCGAAAAATTAAAATGCTGATGTCATATTTTACTCGCTATTTATATGCTAATCTCAACGTCTTGGAAGCCAGTGATGGGGATTCTGATTAAAATATCAATGGGTAATTTGGACGTAGCAAGAGACAGGTCTGTCCACGTTACAATTTAGTAAGACGTGTGTGAACTGCTAATGTAAGCAAATCAGATTGAAAGTAACGTCTTTAGAAAAATTCTATGTATTCTAGAATTAAAGCTAATTGTTTTTAATATTTAAGTGTGATTTTTAATTCTTGATAATATGTCATTGATATTTTAAATATACAAGACTTAAACTAAAATGTAATTCAAGTGAATTTTAATGAAAGATCTGATGTGTTTAATCTTGACGCTCATCGTATTTCTCAAGGCGAAACATCACTGCAATCATTTGTAAGACGAAGGGTTGAGGGAGCATTGAACTTAATGCCGCAATATTCAAAAATTAAGAGGCTTCGCCGTCAAGAGAGTCTGTAAATATTATTTTTTTATGTTAATAACCACCCGATTGCGTTAATAAAGCTTTACATCTCGTAATTAGCCCTTCCATTGTCTGAGGCGGCAGAGCGAGACTATAGATGAATTGAAATAATTACAGAAATGAGCGGGGTTTATTATAAAATCCGATTTCATTAAACTCTTTGTTGTTAAAAAATTCTCATATATGTAATAATTAGTTTTAACCATCGCATTAATAATATAAAAATACATTTCTTTTTTAATATTTTTTTGAATACCATTAACTAATTTAAGTTAAAATTCTGCCCGCCACTGTAGACAGTGGATAATCAATATCTACCTATTGTTTCATATCACTAGGATATCAAAAGCACGAATATCCGACAATCTCTGGCTGAACATCGGTCTATTAATTAATAAATTAAACAATAACGTTCTTAATTCCGCCTCGGTTTGCTTGAGCCGCAGCGAAAATATTTGCCATGTATAAATTCTCATGGATGAAGACAACCCCTCAACGCCGGGCGGTCTTTATAGCTCTATTTGTGTATTTTAATTACTGTCATTATATGCTAATGAGTACCATCCCTTTTTCTTATCCTACTAAATGGGTTATTACAGTCTTATATCTATATCGTGCAATTTTCGTCGAGTCGTCTCGAAGATTTAAATAATCGTAATGGCATCCACCGGTTTGGAAGGATTATTTCTTTAATTTTTTTTAAAGGTTCACGTTTTGATTAATTGTTTCGGTGCTGCTCAGAGATTTCGTTGGTAATTTGTTTTGTGTTATTAAGTCAAGGAAGTCGTTTGGCGAGTCAGAAAATTTGGATCGCAGCTCATCAGTGTGTCGGGGAGTTGTTTTCAACAGTCATTTGTTATTTTTTTTTAATAAATTCAGTATTCATTATTTTACATCCTATCTTAATATTTTTTATTTATTAAAACTTTTTATACAATGATCATTTAGCATAAGAATTATCAAAGAAGTAATGCGTATGATTGCTTACGTTGACATAATACAATAATAATGCAATATACTCGTATATTATATTTATAATTTTGATTTCATTTTAATTAAAGTAATAATACAAGGCCAAACTTTATACAATTATAATTTCTTATTTGCTGTAACACTTACAGTATAATCTTAAAGTGTTTGATAGTTTTGTTTTTGATTTACAAAACAGATTTTTTGATAAGCTTGCTTCAGTCAATTATTGAAAAGTTTATCTTTAAAATACACTAAATATTTATTATATTTTTATAGTATTTATTATATCATGGATATTTATGTAAGTGTTATACTATCTGTTTTATTGAAATTGTTTTTTTATATATTATATTATTAAGAGCATCATATTTCACAATTTTTATCTGCTGTACACACTAACTCTTACAGCTGTGGGTTGGCTGGAAGAAATTTCTTTTAGAAATAAGCCCGCCATTGTACACAATAATTATGTTTATAAAATAACCTTGTTAATTATTCAGTGCAATAAAGAGTATATATAAATATGTACATGCCATGAACATGATAAATAAATTATTTGATATATTCAATTTCATTGTCACATTTTTTTATAAAAGTCATTATTTCGATAAATCAGGGATATAAATAAATTTATTTAAAGAAATTCTCAGATGTAAATGATTACTCGCATCTTAGTACAGTCTCCCTCTGAATCTCGAAATTCTTTTACATAATCATGTGTTGAAAATATAACAGCTTTTTAGCGAGGGGCTGATAAACTCTCTTTTACGTATGCGTTCTACGTCTCCAAATATTATACTTACAAGTATTTAGCATAATCTTCGACTGATTGGGGTGTAGAGTAGGTTTTACTTTTAATGCATTAGGCTTAGATTTTGATAAGAATTTATTGATGTAAATTTCTAAATATTTATCTTTTATTTATTACCTTATAAATAATAATTACTAATAATATAGCTGGACCGAAAAAATAGTCGTCTTTATCTAAATAAATCTTTCCAGATATTTTTTTTTGGTCGTAGTTACTTTATATTAAATTTATATTAAAGTAAAGAAAGGTATTGTTTAATGATTTCAAAACCAATATAATGGTTAAATTTAAAAAAATGCTATAATTTTAATGCATGTTTTTATAAAATTATGAATATAACAAACCCTTTTAATTAAAATAAGTTAAGTAACGTCTAGCTGTCGTCATAAAAATTAGGTTTTCACAAGTTTCGTTAAAAGCGTCTTTACTGCATCTGGAGTCATTCGACGAAGACATCGCCTGTCCATGTTTACCGCGTCGTTCGTTTTTACTGAGATCGTTACGTGTTTACGATCTCACCTCGTTATTGTTATGTTAAAACGGGGTTAATATCATGTTTTTTAGGAAAATGGCAGGCTTAAATATGGCAACATATTTTATTGCTGATTTGTCGCATGAACTAGAAAGTTGTTTAAGTAATAAGATATAAAATTTTGTTTTTTTTTTTGTTGCCATAACTACGATAATTATATCGCCCAATATTATGATATTATTATATAAATATGTATATAAAGCGAATATGATGAGTGCTGTTATATTTTTTAAAGTTTCCTAACAAGTTCAGTTGAATTCATCTCATAAGGTTACGAGAGGTTGTTCGTACATTTATTACCATTAGAAATCCAGTTCTGAAAATATATTCGGAGCGCATGGCATGTTTCCTCGTCGCATTAGGCATAAGTAGTGCTCTCCTCGCCCTATTAACGGTGATATATGCGACAATTCTTTTTCCAAATCCTCGAAACAGAAGGGAAACGGTGTCATATCGTTCGAGTCGCTTAGCATCGACATCTCCCATGTGTGACTCGCTAATTCCACGCTGATAAATGATTTTCGTGGCATATCCAAATGGAAATTTCTTGTGATCAACGTGTATTCGTCACTGCTTTGTCTATGTATACATATAGTACGTATGTACGTATAAATGTTTGAAGCGAATTTATTACACTGTAGAATAGATATCATGTTTTTTATGTTATTCCGATTAAAAGTAAAAGTAAGTCTTTGATTCAAGATATAAAATTTATTTCTTAAGCTCAGTGATTCATACAAGGCACGAACATCTACAAAAGGTGTACGCCCTGCGGGTAATTTTTGAAAATCCGATCCGCAATTCAGGCTAATAAGAGGCGAACATGCATCCCAAACGCGATTCACGTGTTCGGATAGGAAACACTGTTCCCCTTGAAGACACCGTGCGCGATGTATGCAAAAAGGGAATTGAATAAGATGATTTCGTTCCGCGGGTCGCTCCCGTAGGAAAAGAATCCAGTAATGGCAAATACAATAAATTTTCATAAACAAATTGCGATTTGATGGCGGTATATCGGCGGAGCGTGGCCCCACTCCCAATAAGAATTGATGGGAAACAATGTCGCGACACTGATTGAATGTCAATTTGCGGCAACGTGTTGCGGCCTCTTGCCGGAATTCTACATTAAGCTCGCTAAATTACAGGATGTTCTTATATATGACTGTCTAATATGTGTGTCGAAATTTTGAATTTACACGAGACGAATTTGTGTTAATGAACAAAATTCCAGAGATTTAAATTGATAATGTTCGTAACATCTAATTTGAACAAAACTTAGCTTCTTTATAAGAAAAATACATACTAAGTTATAAAGCTACGCACGAAAATGTTTTTGCACCCTCTAATATTGTAAAAGAATCTTTTTGTCATTGTTTATCGAAAAACAATATGGCGACCGATCGAATGTCAATTTAAGGCGACGTGTCACAGGCAGGCGATGCCGCAAATAATTTTGTGTAATGTGCACACGTAGCGTTAACGATGCGGGGGGAGTGACTACTTTTTAGGATGTTAGAAGCCTCGTTAGAAATAAGTATCGTTAAAATAAAAAAATATTTTTTTATGTACATATTTTATCAAATACATGTAAAATGAAGTCAGTAATGTGCACCTGTGCTTTTGGGCCGACGTTTACGCAGGTATAAATCAAACCTGCGACCCTAACGCTACGTCACGAGCAGAGATCATTATTTAATGTGCATAATATAAGTTATGCGAGTTTTATCTCGAAATTGGCTTTAAATACCGAGAATATTTATAAGTAAGATATATATGAGCTATATATATTTATGCTTTATTATTATTAACGCTAAGCTATGAATTTAAAAAAATAATAAAAGCGTTATTTTGACACTTTAACATATGAACACTTATCTGCACTCAGAGAGAAGCGTCGCTCAGCTAAGAAGTTTTGACTTGCAAAGCATCACCGTTACATTTTTCAACGGAGCGGTAATGATGGTTTGTTACGTTGGTCCAATTGAAAGGAAAGAGATCATAAAAAACATTATAAAAATATAACATCAACCCTTAAAAACTCATAACAAAGTGACACATTCAATTCAATGTCATGTTATACGACGCTTTAACACCTTGATCACAAATAGCTATTTCTCATTAAACATTCAAATACTATTTCCTCGCACGAAGGAAACAGGATTGTAACAATCCGTATTGTTTCGGATCTCATAAAGTGTAGCCCTTTGACTGTCTATTTCATACAAAACAGAGTTACATAAAGCCTCTTCCACACTTGGCTAGCAACACCTTTGATGCGCGTATGATTGCCGCGCCCGCGACACATTGGATCTATATTGTTGTCTTTTTCAAGTTTTGTAATAAGGGATGAGGGTGTATTAAAGCCTTTTATCCCGCTCGTCACGCCAGGACGTGGGGTCGGGAAGGGGTTGAAGGTGAGCAAACATTAGCTCTTTTACATTTTTGCAATTTCATCGACGACGCCTGACGGCTGTTTGCTGTAGAGTTTGGAGCGAGATTGTTGAAGAAGGCTTTTGAGGGTAACAACTTTAAAAAGGTTTCGCATATGTAAACGAGGCTCAATTTTCGTTTACACACTCTCCCGTTATTTGCGGATGCTGTATTAGTTAATGCGAAGCATCAAGAAATTCGGAGTGGAGTTAAGCTGACTATTAACCGCTAGGCCCCAGGCCAAGTCTCATAGCCGCAGACTGCCTGCAAATCTTGGCTGCATTCTCGAACATTCCACGAGATGTAGCTTGGATTAAACGACGCAGTATATTTAACAATTACAGTATATTCACCGACTCTCGCAGGTAAGGATGCATATTTCAAGAGCGAGACAATATTAGCCGCAGCACTCGAGTGGAAAATGAGACCGTTTTTGGTTCCTAATTTACAGTGTTCTAATGTAAGGAACATGTTCATTGTACTAAGGTACTTGCATTTATATCGTTTCGTGAATAGAAACGGTCCATGTTTTAAAATGTATTAACTGCTTAGTTTGTTGATTTTAATTCTCAGTTTCTTATATATGTACAAGTTTAAATTTATATATTTATATGACGAGCCTTATTTAGACTTTTAGCGTTATTTAATTTGGTTTTGATTCTTTTATAAGAAATAATAACATTGTTTTATTTCTTGTATTATTAAAAAGTGGGTTAGACGCTACATCGTTAATTACTTACATATACGAAAGATATCGTTACGCTGCAAGCTCCTATCAATGCTTAGTTAGTTTTAACTTGTTATTCAGCTATTCAGCGCTTTATGAAATAATATCTATTTTGTAAAGTAAACAGTTCAAGCGCTGTTTAAGTACTATTGCACACGAGTTCAGAATGACTCATAATTCATTCGTATCTGGAAATGTCGAGGTTTCTGCATCCTGAAGATGCGGGCGATACCATCCGCTCTTACCGTTTTGTCTCACAGACATTTAAGGTAATAATGGTAGGTTCACAGCTTATAAATTGAGAGATAAAAAGGGTTGCTTCTGTGATAAAGGGACTTTAAATAACAATATTTTGTTATAAGGCAAAATAAAGTTTAAACATATTTATATTTCATGATGTCTTAAATTAAACAAAAATTTAGTTTCATGTTTAACAAGCTACATTATAATCTGGATGCCTAAGTAAGACATTAATATTGAGACATGTGGATATTATAGACAAACGATGTGTTGTAGGTGATCACGCCTTACTCATTATTCTAAAAGCACGTGAGGCACGAAACCCTTAAAATTACATTCGAAACAGTGCTCTTAGCAACTTTCCCATAAGAGCCCATTATTTACGAAGCCACCGTACCATTAAGATTCTCCACATATCTTCGAAAGGCGCTATGGTAATTACGGGTCGCCATTTTATCTCGCAACTCTTCGCGATTAGAACTCGCGTGTTCGCTCGGCTGCACGTAGAAATAACAAGTCCACGAACTAACTTCGTTTCTGAGGAGCGTTCTGAAATTAATTCGGATGGAAGATATCGGGCTGTGCGATAGCGGGAGCTCCTTCCGCGCCATTTATTGCTCGTGTGGTGCTCGTATCGGTGAAGGGGTAAAGAATATCAAGATGTAACGAGCTCCAGCCGGAAGGCCCGCAAATGAGCTCTCCGACTTATCTGTGTTAATGTGGGCGAGGGTTAATTTTGTCTTACATGAGCAATTTAAAGATATCGCATCTTATACGCCGCGTCGTTTGGTTGCCCTATATCGAAAATAATAACTGTTCTGTACTCGGTCTACTTAAATATTCGTTAAGATTTCGTCTAGACAAAAGGAAAATATGGTGAGCGTCTGTGGAGAAAATGAATGCGGTAGCGCGCAAACATGAATGTATGGCGAGCAAATACGTGGCGTTATTAGGAAATGAAATTAAGTCTCGAGTGCAATCTCGTCATTGCACACCGCGTCTATTATGTAGTTGTGTATGCAATCTGAAGCAGAGTGCTGGAGGGAAGAAGCTGATCTATTGTCGGACAGCCCCCGGCGTTCCAGATACCGCGGAAACTTGGACAGTTTGTAGATTATTTTCATTTATCTTATATTTTAATTTATAGTGTTTATTTTATGATAACAGCTTAAGCTTATCTTTTGGCATTGTTCTCTTGTCACCGTAAAACGTTTCATTAGTAGAATTTAAAAAAATGTTACTACTTAAACTAAAATATAGAATGATTGGATTTAAGACTGTAAGGAATGCCAATGACTAATAATAAAAAACTACAAATATTTCATTCCAACACAGTTTTTGATTAACATATAAACATCAAGAAAATCATTGACTCTGCTTTAATTATCTATAACTAGTTTTTGCCCGCGACTTCGTCCTCGTAGCTGACCAGGCAGTGGTGGCCTAGTGGTTAAAGGGCCCGCCTCTCGTTGCCGAGGGCGCGGGTTCGATCCTGGCCCGGGCAAGTACCAATGTGATTTTTCCAAGTCATATGTACTTTCTAAGAGTATTTAGACATCACTGATTAATATTGATTCTCAAAGAGAGGGTTGATGTCAGGCAGGCGGCCGGTCGTAAAAACAAATAGCCAAAACTATTCACAAACATGTAAGGCAGACCCTGGCTATAGCTGGGAAATTGCCAGGTAGAAGAAGAAGCTGTCCAGGCAAACTCTATTCCGTCTTAGAGGCCATAAATAATCAGGTTTTTCCTTTTTCAATCAAACAGAATGATTGACATATTAGTTAGTTGTCAAATCTAATGTCAAAGAAAACATTTGTATGGGAAATAGAAAAGGGCTGTTTTTAGGGTTTTTCCGAAAATGAATCAATTTTTCTGACCTTTTATACCTTCCCTGAACCTAAACGAACATTTCAAGACTAAGATAAGATAAATCCGTTCAGCCGTTCTCGAGTTTTAGCGAGACTAAGGAACAGCAATCCATTTTTATATACATATATAGAAGATATATGCAATAAGTATAAATCTTCGGTAATTACACACGTCATTAAAATAGTTTTAGAAAATATAGATAATTAAAATATTTTAAGGAATGAATATATTGTTATATTAAATAAAAATAATACTGTGTAAAATTTTATCGTAAAGATCGCAATGGAATTTTCCCACGCTAGAATATTAAAGAAATCTGTTAAAGTTGCTCATGTAATATGCAGGCAGGAATACGCAAGCGCTGCATATTTTGCAAAACCGCGTCCCGGACGAACCAACTTCCAACTCGTGCCTGATTCTAATACATATTTTGCGGCTTGAAAATTTTTAATTCCCATTTTTGCTGAATGTATTCAGTTATTTCTCTGGTTGCTTTGTTTTATTTATTCACTGAACTAGCAGTTTCAATGCTTATTTATGTGTTTAAAAACATTAATGTGTTACGTAAATATAGTTCCGTTTCACTCCGGGGCAGATGTTGTGTACAAAATGTTTGCGGTTGTAGGTGTTCAAAGGGCTAGTTCATGCTACCGGTGACCGAGGACGTGTCGAGTATCAACCGCAGTCTACTAAATCCAGATCAGACTTTACATACAAATTATATGTATCTAATTTGTTTATATGAATTAGGAAGTATGCATCAACTTTGTATTTAAATCCAAAGGCTGAAAGTGTTTTTTAAGTTTGACTTTTAACTGTAAGACAAATTTTGGAGATCAACGTCATTAAAATTTTAATTAATATTTTCTTCTTCCATTGTATCGGATTTTATTATTTAAGCAAAACCCTTTTTAATAATGTACTTATTTTATGTTTCTTTTTTTTTATCACGAGAGATTTATATATCTCAAGTCATCCAAAACAAAATCTAGTATAACCAATGGAAACTAAACACAAGAAACATTTCACAATACTAGTTGCAGCACGGAAAGCAAAAGGAAGTGTAAACTGCGCTGTTTACGTGAGGGCTCTTAGCAAACACCTGTAAACGCCTTCAAGCGGGCTTGTTTATACTGCCCACTCACGATTGCCATACAATTAGACTGGCTGAAAACTAAATACGGCTGCCTCTTAGAATATGAAACGAGATGTCACTTAAGTTTTTATTTTTATATTTGGTTGTTTAACAAAACATGAAACAACATAATTTGAATGTTTAATATTTAGGGATCAGCTTTATTCGAGAAAACCATGAAACTTGTTATACACCATATAACATATCTATTTCGTCTCATTCAGAAATGATACAAAGTTATTTAAAACGCAAATATTCAGCGTATTTATTTTTAAACAATTTTTAAGAGTTTTTGTTCTACCATTACAATACGCTGTTTCTAAATAACTTAAAAATACTGATAGTTGATTTCGCTATTAAGTGCTTCCTTAACAAGTAAGTTATATATTTTAAACTTTAGTGAAACTCTCTTAATTTATCTTAAAAAGTATATTAATATAATAATAATAAGCACTTCCTCAAAAATGAACAGAGAATGCCATTTTTGGTTCCATCCCCAAGTCCTCCATCATATTCGCAATGTTGACTTCTGGATGATACGACCTCTCCACTCGACATGATCGTAATAACCGCATCCAACAACCCTTCTACATCCATAAACCCGCTACAAATCTTGCCTCGGTATCTTTATATTGCGAATAGGACGATCTTTTAACCCGACATAATGGCAGGTTTACTGAGAGGACCGTCGTAAAGTGTCCCGTACTCGTGGCCGGGACCCCTTCGAAATTTCACGAACTATTTCCCCGCACTAGCCCTCGCTCAGCTTTTTTGTCGACTTTATTGTCCGGATTTTCTACTCACCTTTATCGTTATTGTGTCCGCTTGACTTCATAAAGGACCGGCTCACTATTAAGACCTCATAACCGTGGGAAAATTTTCGTCGGCCACTTAAGGAGCTCCTTGACGTTGTTTTGTACAAAAAATAAAAAAAACTATTCAATTTTGTAGGAAAATGTTAAAAAATCTTGTTTTCAAAACGTATATTACATCTTTAAATGAAAAAAGTTATCGCAAATGACTACCTCCATGGTGGTAATGATAAATCAAACAGGTAATGAAATCAATTTTCCGTTTCACAAATAAAATCTAACCGGTCAATAAATCCGTAAAGGCAATTGAGTGGAATGCGATAGGCGTGTTAATAGACCGGCGTGTGTCGGGGGCTGTCGAGTGTCCGGTGAAATCATTGCGTGAATGATAATTGCCAGAGCGCCGCAATCCGAGCTATCGGCTCGGAATTGAATGTGTGGATGCGTTTCAAAACGAAGATAGATTGCACCTGGAAATGAATTCACACTATTCTGAAATTTATTGCCATTATCTTAGCGATTTGTTTCTTATTGTATAATCTGGATTAGAAGAATATTTTATTAACATGTAAAAACTATTTGTAAATTAAAAAAATACCGTTAGTTTATGTAGAACGTATAATCTTGTACAAAAGAAAGTGTCAAGTACATTGATAGTAATTTAATATAACAACATAAATATATGAATATATAAAATGTATCACCAAAAACATAACGCACTTTAAGTTTCTATTAGAAAGTGATAATCTACATCCATGTAGGAAGAGGACAGGACTGCAGCCGGGAGAGATCAACGCATACGATTACGTGTTCCACAGGTGGCGTATAACATTTTTCGGGACGGCCCATCGCCTGTTTAATTCGGCTTTTCGTTTGACGATTTGCAGTTTGTTTTTATTGAAAGGCGACGAAACGTGACCGTGGCGGTTGTGGTAAATCAAATTATTTACTTTATAGGTTACACATAACGATTTTGAATTTAATGTGTCTGAATTTAATTATTCACTTAATTTAATCCGTACATCACGCGTTTTTAAGTGAAGTCTACGAAAAATAGCAATAAATCTCCGTAGATGTGTCATTTGTTATCGGATATAAAAAAAACATATTTGAAAATAATATGGCAGAACATATAACAAAAATAGTTGAATTTGACGAAGTCTGAAAAAAAATTCCCGATAGAAGGTTCCCTGTTTAAAATTCCATATCCAGCGGTGTAGCTAATTCACAGCAGGATGGGGCTTTAAATAATTATTGCTCGCTTGACAAATTGCCGGCAAAGCCTACGTGTCGTTGCTACAATTTGATACAATTTTACCGCCTTTCCACGTACGGGCCGACAGATTTGCATATATGCGGGGTGAGCTTATGCAAATATTTTTTTACCGTTTCTCCTCTCTGGCAACATTGTGAGCGATTTAAAAAGATTTAACCTCTTTGTCGGACCATTAAGTGTAAAACTAATTTGCTTACCTTTGAAATGTGTTGAAGCTTTAGCGGATAATTACTGGAGGGTAAACGTCCCCGTATCGTGATATGCAGATTTTTGGGGCTTGTTGTTTTTTATTAACTTTCCTTGATTATTGTTTTCCTTTAAATGTTATATATATATATATAACAAAAGGTTATTGTCTTTACCTTTTTAGGAGATTTTTAATTTTCAGTTAGAGGGCGTAACTTCTCAGCGATATTGAGCATGTGGGAATCGACGAAATTAAACTTTTCTTTGTTTTCCCATTCTATGGGCTGACGTTATTAAATTTCCTTGTGTTTTTTAACACAGGCGTATCATTAGATTGAGGGTTTCCGTCAAGAGGAAATTGCGGCGAGGGGACTAGCACTGAGCGTCTAAACATATTGAAAAAATAAAAATCCTGGCTACTTACGGTGTATGAAAGTATGTTGCTCTACTTCTTACTAATAAATGTGATATTTTTCATGTGTAAGTTTTTATGAGATTCATTAATAAATTTAAGAATATTTGAAATAATAAATGTTAATTTCATGTAAAACCAAACTGTCCAGTCTAGTGATTTGTTTCAGCTGTATTTAATTCAATTAATTAGTGACAGTAAATTTGTGTAATTTATAAAGAGATTTTTTTAATGAATGTTTTTATAGTAGAGAAGTTTTCTTGCCACGAAAAAGAACTTGAAGTGGTCTCTCTTAAGTATTGCCGCGACGAATTTCAACACTGACTTCGGGAATTCACCTTAAATATACATATTACATTACGTGAAATTGCCCATTTTTTCCACTCTCCACCCTAGCAATTAGGGTAGCTTGTGTATAAATATTGCATAGCCCTCATTAATGTGCGTGTTCGTTTTAGTATCTATATATTTTTATGCTTGGCTTTTTGGTCGCCGTCTATAAGGAATTGCGTCGTGGGATGTAATGAATAATTAAGACATGTTGAACAAGCTGCGGGTAATGGCAGTTGATTTTTCTTTGGATTTATGTCAAGGAACAGTGTTTCACTTTCCGTCTGCTTCTTTTGAAATTAATTTTAACATTAAAAGTTGCTATGATATTACAAATTTTCTTATACTACTCTAATATTTTAAAGCTATTAATAATTAAATCCAGCAACTTACCTTGGTCGGTTGGAGACGGTTGTCGAAGCCGAAGTGATGCCTGAAATGAAAAATAATAACGTTTAAAAACATGTCAATAAAATTTATTACTTTTCGAGCAATTAAGTTTATTAAAAATATAATTTATTACAACAAAAATTTCATTACTGAATTCGAAATTAAAACGCTGAGCATTCGAATGATTAAACGGATCCGAGATTGCATTTCGACAATTAACGCATTAAGACTTCTCTTGCCAATAAAGAGCAACTCTTAATTAAGGGTCCCTGTTAAAAATTGAGTACAAATTCAAGTAGCAAGACCCTCCCTCGGTGGGGATCTAGTGAATGGTCCGTAATATTTTAGTTTGCTTGAAACAAAAACGCCTCAGTGAGGGGTTGAGGAGCTGTCACGTAGACACAATAAGCCTTTTAATTCGATTCGTCAAGACGGACGCAGGACACAAAGGCCCGGAGTTATCATTCAATGGGGCACTCTTACCTTTTCTTATTACTTCGCCTCCGTTTTCTTATAAGGTGCTGGCACACACGACGTAAAAATCTTGAGATTAAGTATCCATATAAAAAAATCTTCTGAATTTTAATTACCTCTACATTTTATTTATTTGTATATATAAGGTGAACTACATTAATAAAAAAATAATATTAACATATTCTAAGTGAGAGTCTATTTTATAGACTAACAATTTATGTTTTTAATTCGATGTACATTGAATGGGTTTTTTTCTAATTTTTTTTATTAGTGGAATGATGTTTTAAGATATATCTTGCCATCGTATCTCATGTGTAGCACTTCTAAGAGTGCACTTGATCCCGTGTGTCGTCGTGACCCGACTGCCGATTGGAAGCTAACAGCTTTATTTGTTGCCACCACTCTTTAAACTACCTTAAATATACT